ATATATATATATATATATATATATATATATATATATATATGAGTCAAACTAACAAAACCTAATAAAACAAATAACAAAACAAAAAGCACACAAGAAAAGCATAGAGTCCATTGTGTGTCGGCCAACTACTTCCAGGTGAGGTCTGGCCCACAGTGCGGTTGATATCCCAGTGACACTCCATTGGAGAAAACAGATTTTCTTTTCCCAGCAGGTTATCAACTGCAAATAGCTTCTTGGTTGGGGTGTAACTTTTTTGTCCATTTTCCCTTCTCCATACTGGATTTTTGTAACTCAAGGTCTTAAACAAGTACTAATAATCCAAGAAGAGCCAGAGGGCTGGCTCAGTGGTTAAGAACAGGAGGACCTGTGTTCGGTTCTCAGTTCCCAGGTGGTTCACAGGGACCTGGAACACAAGCTCCAAGGGATCTGATGCCCGTTTCTGGCCTCCACAGGCACCTGTACTCATGTGTACACATGCTCCCCGCCCCCCATAAACAAATAATTAAAAATTAAACCTTTTTTAAAAAAAAAAAAAGCCTTGCTGGATGGTGGTAGCCCACAGCTTTCATCCTTGCACTAAAGAGGCAGAGGCAGGTGGATCTCGGTGAGTTCCAAGCCAGCCTGGTCTACAGAGCGAGATCCAGGACAGTCAGGGCTACACAGTGAAACCCTGTCTCAAACAACAAAGCCGAATCTATAAGTACTAGGGAACAAGGAATAATGAAAATCAATAGAGACATCAATGAAACAGACATTAAAAATATAAAAAGAGTACAGAAAGAACCAATCAAACTAAAAGTTGGTTCTTTGTAAAGATAAATAAGATGGGTAAAACCCTACCTAAACCAGCAAAAAATAAAATAAAATAAAAAAAAAAGACTCAAATTATAAAAATTAGGGGTGAAAATGGAAAGTCACTACAGATTCCAATGAAATCTGAAGATTCCGATGATAACTAGGATTAGAAGATAGAAAGATAATTTCATTTTAATCAGAAGTGGGACTGTCTGAAATGACTAACCTTATTCCTTCACTTACAATGAAAAACTGACATCCAATAAAGTGTTCATCAAAGTCAAGGGCAGACCTGAGCCTAAACTCCAGGGCCTCAGTTAACACTGGGAATCTAATCCGTAGCATCCTGCTTAAACTGCTTAAATCTACCAATCAGATTCTTCAGCCAAGTGTTCAGTAGGTACGTGATTCCATTCTGTAGGTGTCTGTGAGTTTGTGTTTCCTTCTTTTTGGCCACCTCCTCTTCTTTATGTAATTCTGACGGGATTGTTAGGTAGGCTGATGGCCCAGATGTGCCAAACAGCTCCACTCTAATTAGGCACAGCAATTGGCTGAAATGTCAATTGGAAGAAACTCTTTGTTAGGGAAAACAGATCATTTCTTCAGGATCCCTAACTGGATGGACAATGAAAGCCTGAAGTTATAAGTGATCATCACTGCTATCAGATGAGCCTCAACAAAAAGGAAAATAAAATACTTGTAACTTTAGCGATTGATCATACACAGGCTTCCAGATCTCACCTAATTAGGGTAGGCACTAGAATCAGAAGTCAGAAAGTCATCACAACACCTGGAAACAATAATGTACTAGGCAAATGGGTTTTCTCTCTAAAATGTGAATTTCAGAGTAAGCATTAAACAGCTAATATAAAGGACCGTAAGACATCATCAGGATCCTGAGGAGTCCCAAAAGACAAAATTATGTGTGTGTGTGGTGGGGGGGTAACAAGCAAAAAAAAAAAAAAAAAATCAAAAAGAACCCTCTCTGCCCCGCAGTGGTAGAGAACAAAACTAGGGGCTGTGCACATGCAAAGTCTTCTACCACTGAGTTACACTCCCAGCTTAAGAGTCACACATTTCCGGCCGGGCGGTCGTAGCGCACACCTTTATTCCCTCTGTGAGTTCAAGGCCAGCCTGGACTACAGAGTGAGTTCCAGGAAAGGCACAAAGCTACACAGCAAAACCCTGTCTCAAAAAAAAAAAAAAAAGTCACACATTTCAAACCCTGATCAGATTCTTTAAGCTTTCTGCCTCCAAATACAGAGGAGACATGAGTGTTTTAGTCACTTTAAACACTCACTAAAAGCCCATATATGTTTAGCCTATTGTGACAGACTGAAGTACTATAGAAAAAAATTCACTTCTTCCATGTCACCTCAAAAAGGAGGATTTTTCCCTACCCTGTGACTTTTGGTTTAGTTATGCATCTTCCTTTAGCCAAAATCTTGTGATATGATGTGATGTGATGTGATGTGATGTGATGTGATGTGATGTGATGTGATGTGATGTGATGTCTTACAGTCATCATCAGCTCGAGGAACCTAAGGAGTCTCTGAGCATGTCTATGAGGGGTTACCTATATTAGGTTAACCTCTTGGCACACCTGTAAAGGATTTTCTTGATTAGGGTTCACCGACGTGAGGAGTCACACTCTAATTGTGGTATCATCATTTCACAGGCTGCATCTTGAACTAAATAAATGGAAGGAAGGAAGGAAGGAAGGAAGGAAGGAAGGAAGGAAGGAAGGGAGGAAGGAAGGAAGGAAGGAATTAAATAAATAGAAGAAAAGTATTCGCCCATTGCTTTCTCCTTCCTGAGTGCTAATACAACGTGAGCAGCTGTTTCAGGCTCCCGCTGCTTTGGCTCTCCCTGCTGTGGTGGACTGTGAGCCTTCAAACTGTGAGCCTTCAAACTGTGAGCCTTCAAACTGTAAGCCTTCAAACTGTGAGCCTTCAAACTGTGAGCCATCAAACTGT